TCTTGGGTAAGGAACCATGGGTCGCCCAAACATGGTGTCATCGGTAAAAGACCTTGATACGCAAGACACCGTCGGAAAAGCAATACCAATTGCATTACACGTGGAGTTGAAGTTGGATTCTACGATGCAACCGACTAGGGATGATTGGCATAAAGGATTGTGCAGACCAAGGAGACGAGTTGGGAACTCGTGCTAAGGACTCACAAAGGCCTTAAAAGTCAAAATTCTAAGGATGGATCGGGACTCCTCCAAACCATGGATATCGTTCAAGCAAATCAGAGGACTCCTTACAAGTTGTATGGAATCAAGAACGACGTAGCCCGTGGTGCTAGGCAAAAAGTAAAGGGCACATTTGTGCCAAGATCTCAAGGGTCATTAAGGACCCACAAGGAAATGAGATGACTCGTAAACTCACCAAGTCATTCCACAACGATATTAGGTAACCAGCTGCGCTTCAAGAAGAAAAAGAGCATGCAAGGACACCTTCATCATTAAAAGTAACACAAAAGGGCACAACAAACCGAACCTCGGAGAAGACATGAAGTCTTACTTAAAATTTCACTCACTAAAGAAGAGATGAAATTCAATAAAAAGTCAACCCAAAGCTTATCGACTCCCAAGAGACTTTGGGAAGAATTTGGGAAGTGCGCCCTAAAAGATCGGCTTGGTTGACCAAACTTGGTCAAGACCTTAGACGCATTAACGAAGTAAGTGTTAAATCATCACGAGAGATTCCCTCAAGATAGGAGAGAAGGATGAAACTTTAGCGTGGGAAGCAAGGTCTAACAAGGATCTTAAAGTCAAGCAAGTGCCAACACCAAGGAAGAAGGATCATCAGTTCATCAATACGTCGGGATCAAAACATCAAACCAGAATAGTCACTTAAAATCGAGAACCCTTAACCCATCCTAGCCGAATTCCCTTCCCTCCCTCGGGAAATCGGCCCCTCCTTATTTCAAAACCCTTTCTACCCTTCAAACCACATTCTTGATTCCCTATTTTAACGATTCCATACAAGGTGGCAACCTCACACCCTAAGTTGCAACCTTGAAAACTTTGATCCTAATTCCTAAATTCACTTTGTCCTTAGGTTTGAAACCCAGTCTCTTAGCCCTTTAAACCTAATCGTTCCCAAAAACCCAGCACAGATAGACATACAATGATACAGTTTCCCCGAATAATTATTTAATTAATCCCGTTAATAATAATTAAATATGATTTCATTCGGTTAGGTTTCCCTTTAATTAATTAATGAGGTCCACCATGAACCGTGGACCCTTGCCTAAATGAGAGTCTTAGGCCTATTAGGAATAATGGAAGTAGGCCTTTTACTATTCAGATTATGATTAGGATTCTCTTTAATTAATTAATATGGTTCACTGTGGACCATGGACCCTTATCCCTAAAACAAGTCCTTAGTCCTATAAGGAATAGAATTAGTAAACCCATACCATTCAGGCCCTAATTAGGAGTCTTAAATATATAAATAGGGATATAGAAGGCACCTAGATCTTTCACCACAATAATCTCTCACCACCCAAAGAGTTCCAAGAATTCCCTTAGAAGAAATCAAGAAAGAAGAAAGCTTAAAGAAAGACCTTTCATAGCCAAGGAATTAATTAAGGCTAAGAGGTAACCCAGGTCTCAACAAAACCTATTTTCATAGCAATGATTCCCCTCTTAGGATTTCCCCCATATTATTGTGTATTGATGATTTGTGATATTATTATTGATGATTGGTGGGATGATTCCATGGGTGATCTTGATAATGAGAGATTCTTGATAATTATGGTGTTCTTGATGATTATATGACGTTCTTGATAATTATGTGGTGTTCTTGATGTTCTTAATGATTATATGAGGTTCATGATAGTTATATGATATTCCTACCGAATCTTGATTTTGGAAGGTGGATTGTGTTCTTGTTAATTTAAAAATAATTAGAACCCTAGGTTATATCGTGGAATCCGTATGGTATTATTCTTGGTACTTGGTATATTGGGTGGGAATTCGCATGATTGGGCGTTGATTATGATTAGAAAAGCATGATAGGTTATGTGCCATATGTTTCTTGATTTTGATCCGTTAATTGTCTACGTGTGTTATCAATTGCGTTTAAAAGTGTCTAAGCATGGTTTCGGGTTCCACAAAGGTTCCCGGGGCATTTTTGGTGAAGAAGAGTCAGTGGGGGGTAAGAGGGGGTAGGGGACCCGCCACCTACCCACGGCCTAGTTGGGCAACGCCGGCAGCGGGCAGCTGCCCGCCGGGCACCCGCTGCCCGGAATAGTAGAACGCCGGCGGGTGACCCCTCACCCACCGGCTACCCGCTAGTTTGTACCCCACTTCAGGATCCCGGCTTCCCCGTTTGATGTTCCCCCGACCCCCGTGGTGTCCCAACGGACTCCGTCTATCGTGCCTATGTCTAGTTTGATTTTCGGGTACCGTTCGTAGGCCGTATGAGTCTTATATATTGCATGCTAGTTGAATTGGTATCCCGTGGACCTAGGTGAAAGAAATATGAACCCCTTAGGAATATTCTTTGTATGTGAAGGATCACGCATAGGTTTTGTTATACGTTTTCTCCCCCTTCCCAATGTGTTAATGTGGGTTGTATGTGCTTGCTATGTGTTATGTGTGCATGTTACCCCGATTTGGTTGAGATCAATCGGGCTATACGGGCAGTTAGGTGGGCTGAGAACCATACCGGTTGTTAACCAGGCTGGTAGAGACCGGTCAGGTATATAAATATTATATAGGACAAAGGTCCACTATACGGGCAGTTGAATGGGTTGAGAACCATCCCAACTGTTAACCAGGCTGGTAGAGACCGGTCAGGTATATAAATATTATATAGAGCTGAGGCTCATCGGTCGGTTGCGATCGACCCCTCCGTATTGTGAGACGGGGCAGGGTGCTGCGGGGCCGTGTTAGAGCTATATGCGCTGACCCTCATGTATGGGCACGCGATTGGTCCTGTGGCGCCAACAAAGTGTGCTATGTGATGAGATGAGAAGAATTGATGATATTACTGTTATGGAAACGTGACCATAGGGCTCTTGCTAGTAATGCTTAAATGTGATTATTGGTTGTGCTTATCTATAACCGTGCCCTATGTGAGAATTGTTTATGCTTGATTATGACTGTTGATTGTGTGTACCCCTATTTGTCGAGTCGATTCCCTGATTTGAAAACTAGAGTCTCTTAGGATATATCTTCATGCATCGAAATGACTTTTCGTATATCTATGTATATAACTATATGTATTGTATTTCAACGCGTTGGAGTGGGTTACCAGCATCTCTCGCTGAACAGATATATTTGGTTTCAGGCACAGAAGAATAAGTCACTGGAGCGCGCTAGAACCTGGAGCGTAGAAGTAGATAGTTTCCCTTTCGGCCTGCGTGCCATGCTTATGCATTTACATTATTGAGGATATTAGTTAGTTAGCCTGTGCACCTGAGTTCTCTAGCTCAGGTGTGGCATAGCACCCCGTACTCTTGTATTATGTTTTGGGATTTAATGAGATTTCACCTTTATTTTATAAGTTTTAAATGTCTTGAAAATCTGGGGTGTTACATAGAGTGAAATGACTTTATTACCCTTACTAAAATGAAGAGGTGTAAGGGAACAAGGGTACTCACAAAGCTTTAGGTATAACACTTGACTTTGGGTTGACTAGTCAATTACTAGTCCCCGACTATTGAATTTTTAGGAATTAAATTATCAATTGGATTATGATTAGTTACTTAATTAATCACTTAATTGAATTTAGATTACGGGGTGTCACATCTTCTCCCCCTTAAAAGAAGCGTCGTCCCCGAAGCTTGGGTACGACGAATTAGAACAAACGGTGAAACGAAACAACATTGTGACAAGAGTGTCAAGAACATCCTTCTTGATCAAAGCTCAAGGATTCCAAAAGGTATCAAAACAAGCAAGAAGTCATAACATAACAAGGATTGAAACAATCAACCAACGGAGATATTGAACATATCAAACTCTAAACCAAACACAACCACCAAACTTCCAATCAACACTCAAGATCTAAACAACTAGCTCCTAGTAAAACCCACAAAGCTACTACTCAACAAAACTAGCAACAAGAAAGATCACACAAGGCAAACAACAAAACAACTAAGCACGACCAACAAAAAACAACTAAGAAACCAACTACCATCGAGCCGACAACCAAGGCAAGCAAGAGAGATAACGGGGTTCAACAACAAAATGGTCGGCTTGCGAAACAGGTGACAAAGCTTAGGAGATAGATTGCAAACGATGTTTTAAGCAATAAAGGTGTTCGCCACTAACCAAGGTTAGAGGGAACAAGGGTTCAAATTAAGGTGGTAAGAAGGATAGGCTTGAACACAACGAATTTCAACACAAAAACCATCGGTTAACAAAACGAATGACAAGGCTTAGAAAGAGGCCGAGGGTTCACAAGGATAAGGCAAGAAAGAAAGATAAGGTGATAAACCAAAGATTTACCGAAAAGGAAAGCTAATTCTACCTCAAGCTTAACTTCCTGCTTAAAACTATCCAACGATCTACCCAAATCTAACGTCCCAACTAAGGAACATGCTACAACCAAAAACTGACACCACAAGAACCCTAAACTAGATCACTCGGGATCATAGAACCAAGGTTGCATCTTCAACTGATCTCTACTGACTTCTTTAACCAAAAGAAACAAGGTACTCCCACTACTTAACTTGAGCTTGGCATCTGCGTGAACTTGATCCGTCACTTCCGACAAAAGCTTCAACTACTAAATCCAAAACACGAGTTGGATGTCCTTCTCTCCGGCTCTAGAGTGAGCTCGATGCAGGCTACCGACTTAACACTTGCATTAGCACACAAACACAACTCACAGCAAGGAAACGCTTGAAAACTTCAAGGCTTCGGTTCGGATGAAAGGTCCAAAACAAGAACGGTAACAAAGGAGAAAGGTAACTCAGCGGAAAGAAGGCTCACAAGAATGGATTCGGTTCAACGGAAAGGATTAGAGCGAAAGGTTTGCGTTCAGAAACTCAAGGACCACGTTACTTAGGAGTAGGATCAAAGTAATCAAAGTTGCAACTTAGGAAATAAGGTTTCCACCTTGCACAGAATCGTTAGAAGCGGGGAATACAAGAACGAGGTTCGATTCAAAGGGAAAGATCAAGGTGAGAGTTTAGGTTCAACAATTCGAGGACCATGTTTATTAAGAAGAAGAGAATTGTAAACGAGGTTACAACTTAGGTAGTAAATAATCAAACGGGGTTTAAAGGAGTTGAAAAGGATTTCCCCATGGAGGGTATCCAGTTTAAACTCAAGGAAAAAGTTTATTAGGAAGGGGATCAAGATTTTCAAAGTCACAACTTAGAAAAGATGAGGTTGCAACCTTGAACAGAGTCGAATCAAGAAGGAAACAAGAATGAGGTTTTATAAGATAGGAAGGATTTCTCGAAAAAGGGGCAAGGGAATTGACGAGGGAAAGAGGAGGAGATCAGCTTCAAGAGACACAAAGGGTTCACGACTTCCGGCGAAGCTTCGGCTTGACGCTGATCACTACGCTTGTCGAACTGAAGGCTCTCTACCTCGGCTCGGACGTGGCTTAACTCTTAGGCCTTGCCAGATTCCTTCATATGCTGATGACACCGCCAACTTGCACAAGATGATTTGGAAAGAAACAAGAACAAGGTTTGGAAGAAAAGGATCACTTGGCAAAAAGGGGTGATTGGATTTGTCTAGGGACAAGAAAAGATTACAGAGGGTCAATGGTGACTCTCGAACAAGACAACACCTGAAGCTAACACGCAAGGAAGGGCACAAAGACAAAGGGAGGTGCAGCAAAAAGGGTACAAGAGCTTACTTCAACGGTTCCCACTTGCATCTGTCTCACGACTGCGGATCTTGCCTTGCCGAGGTCCCGACTTCGTACACAGGTCCTGGATGCTACTTCCACTTAGTCCATTGTTGCTTCCACTTCAAGACTTTCTTCTCGACCTGGGTCCCACACTACCAACTAATTTTGTGTCCGCTGAAGTCCTCTTCTTAGCCCTGCACTCAAAGGACCGGTGACCTTTCTTACCACAAGCAAAGCATTCTATCGGCTTCCCATGACAGTCCACGCCGGGGTGATCACTTCCACACTTCTTGCAAACGGAGCGCCTTCCCTTAGCCTTGATCTTCCCGATTAGCTGGAGAGCCTTACTTCCCTTAGAGCCATCTCTTTGAAAACTTCTTGTTGATTCAGCACTAGCAACCTTCAAACTCTTAACCACATGTGTAACACTTCCATCAAGCTTCCTCTTACGGATCTCCCGGATTCCTTTATGAACTTGCTGAACTCAGTAGGGGTCAGCTGCACAAAGATAGGTGTAACACCCCGTGTTACGGCCTTCAATCCCGGATTAATTATTTAATTAATCCCGTTAATAATAATTAAATATGATTTAATTCGGTTAGGTTTCCCTTCAATTAATTAATAAAGGCCCACCATGAACCGTGGACCCTTGCCTAAATTAGAGTCTTAAGCCTACTAGGAATAAAGAAAGTAAACCTTTTACTATTCAGATTATGATTAGGATTCTCTTTAATTAATTAATATGGTCCACTATGGACCATGGACCCTTATCCGTAAAACAAGCCCTTAGTCCTATAAGGAATAGAATTAGTAAACCCATACCATTCAGGCCCTAATTAGGAGTCTTAAATATATAAATAGGGATATAGGAGGCACCTAGAACCCCCACCACAATAATCCCTCACCACACAAGAAGTTCCAAGAATTCCCCTAGGAGAAATCAAGAAAGAAGAAAGCTTCAAGAAAGACCCTTCATAGCCAAGGAATTAATTAAGGCTAAAAGGTAACCCATGTCTCAACAAAACCTATTTTCATAGCTATGATTCCCCTCTTAGGATTTCCCCCATATTCTTGTGTGTTGATGATTCGTTATAATGATCTTGATAATTGGTGTTATGATTCCATAGGTGATCTTGACGATAAGAGGTTCTTGATGATTATATGGTGTTCTTGATGTTCTTGATGATTATATGATGTTCTTGATGTTTATATGATATTCCTACCGAATCTTGATATTATAAGATGAATTGTGATCTTGTTGATTTAAAAATAATTAGAACCCTAAGTTAAATCGTGGAATTCGTATGGTATTATTCTTGGTAGATTGGGTGGGAATTTGTATGTTTGGGTGTTGATTATGTTTAGAAAAGCATGATAGGTTATGTGCCATATGTTTCTTGATTTTGATCCGTTAATTGTCTACGTGTGTTATCAATTGCGTTTGAAAGTGTCTAAGCATGGTTCCGGGTTCCACGGTGGTTCCCGGGGCGTTTATTTGTGAAGAAGAGTCAGTGGGGGGTAGGTGGGGGTAGGGGACCCGCCACCTACCCACGGTCTAGTTGGGCAACGCCGACAGCGGGCAGCCGGCGGGCGGACAGCTGCCCGGAGTCTCACCACCGGCAGGCAGCCGGCGGGTGAACCCTCACCCACCGGCTACCCGCTGGAAAATACCCCAGCTTGGGATTTTGGCTTCCCCGTTTGATGTTCCCCCGACCGCCGTGGCGTCCCAACGGACTCCGTCTATCGTGCCCATGTCTAGTTTGATATTTCGGGTACCATTCGTAGGTTGTACGAGTCTTATATATTGCATGCTAGTTGAATTGGTATCCCGTTGACCTAGGTAAAAGAAGTATGAACCCCTTAGGAGTATTCTTAGTATGTGAAGGATCACGCATAGGTTTTGTTATATGTTTCCTCCCCCTTCCCAATGTATTAATGTGGGTTGCATGTGCTTGCTATGTGTTATGTGTGCATGATACCCCAGTTGGATGGGTTGAGAACCATACTACCTGTTAACTAGGCCGGTTGCGATCGGTCAGGTATATAAATATTATATAGGGCTGTGGTCCACCGTTTGGTTGCGATCAAATGGATTATACGGGCAGTCGGATGGGTTGAGAACCATACTGACTGTTAACCAGGCCGGTTGCGATCGTTAGGTATCTAAATATTATATAGGGCTGCGGTCCACCATTCTACATGAGCTGCGATTCATTTCCTGGCTGCGGTCAGATGACATACTCTTGGGCTGCGGTCCACTGTTTGGTTGCGATCAAACTATGATAAGCTGCGGTTCATCGGTCGGTTGCGATCGACCCCTCCGTATTGTGAGACGGGGCAGGGTGCTGCGGGGCCGTGTCAGAGCTATATGCGCTGACCCTCATGTATGGGCATGCGATTGGTCCTGTGGCGCCAACAAAGTGTGCTTATGTAATGAGATAGGGATGAGTTGTGATTTTGAGTATCTTGGGGATGGGATGACGGGATTTACATTAGGGATTGTTTATGTTGGGTTATGATTATTGATTATGCTCAGCCTTATCTACCTTGCCTGTTGTGAACTATACATGCTTGCTATAACTGCTGTTTGTGCTTAGCTCTATGTGTCGAGTCTATCCCTGTCTTAAAAGCTATAGTTCGTAGGGTATATCTTCATGTTCAAAATGGTTTTGGTATATCTATATATATCTCTATATGTATTATATTTCAACGCGTTGGAGTGGGTTACCAGCATCTCTCGCTGAACAGATATATTTGGCTTTCAGGCACGGACGAGTAGATCACTAGAGCGCGCTAGAGGTCGAGGCGTAGATTAGATAGTTTTTCCCTTTCGGCCTGTGTGCCATGATTTGTATTGATACTGACTGAGACTGTTAGAACTTAGCCTGTGCACCTGAGTTCTCTAGCTCAGGTGTGGCATAACACCCCGTGTTCTTAAAAACGTATTTTGGGATTTATAACTATTTACCTTTATTGTATTGTCTTTAAAAGTTTTAAAAATCCCGGGGTGTTACAATAGGCCTCCTTAACATGAGCAGGACAGAACCGCTCACGTAACTTAAACTTCAGGTTTTCCCAACTGGACTTCGGATCTTGTCTACAAGTTGGCCTTTCAAGCATCCACCATGAGTCCGCTTCTGGCCGAAGGTAGGACGTAGCTAACTCCACTTGGCGATCCTCCGGGCAAACCACAGCTTCGAAGATCTTGTCAAACATCCGGATCCACTCGTCCAACACAGCAGGATCTTCTTCACCGGCGAAGATCGGGGAACGGAGGCTTGCGACTTGGCATACTATGTCACGATTCCCATTTTGAAGAGGGTGATTGATGTTGAGGAGGGCGTTGCTCAGCGTCTGGGTGATCCGCGTTAGTTGATGAAGGCTTTGAGCTAACTGTTCATTGGTGGCTGCTTTTGAAGATCCTGCACGACGTCTCGATGGTGCCATCCCTGACTTCTACAGCAACAGCACGATAACGGGAAAGACTTAGGGCCCGCACCCTTACCTGGTACCTCAACCAGAGAGAACCAAAGCTAACAGGAAAACAAAGCACAGACAACACAACAGAGAAATGATAAAAAGACTCACTACCTCGCCGCGCGTCCTAAAAGTCCTAAGTCCTTAAAAATTAGATTCTTATGGTCACCTTAAGGTCTCAAACCACACTTAGCCACTTAGGAGTCTAGACTCTATCATCCTAGGCTCAAACCTAGGCTCTGATACCAACTGTAACACCCCCGATTTCCATACCAAATTAAACCTTAAACATGCAGATAATTCTAACCCTAAAAGCATACACCGTGGAAGACTTAAGCAAGAAATAGATGGAAAACGTAGAGTGTTTTGCCACGCTCACAAAACGGTGAATGCACAGGCATAAACATCTGCAACATAATCTATCAATCCCAAAAGAAAAGTCAACAACATAAAGTCTAGAGTCTAATCAAAGGCACGCAGGCCCAAACCATCCCAAGGGAAAGGGGTCTACACTAACTGCCTCTAGACCGCGCTCTCATCTACTCAACACCTGAAATAACACAAATATATATGGGGCGACGCCCGGTCAGCAAATGATGCTGGTAAGCCAACAATAGATGTGAAATATCATATGTAGATAGTTTATACGTATACAAAATCATTTGCAAAACCGGATATAGTATATATCAATTTCAAAGCCAAGATATAAGTCAGACACAAGACTCTCTGCACTCATAATAAAGATAAGGGAACACATCCCAAGACCACAAGAAGTAATAACGACTCACGAGAACGGCTCAAGGCATAATCTATCATCACACAGTAGATTAACACCCGACAAGCATAACACAAGAGAATAAGGACACAACCATTGGCAACACATTGCCTTTGTTACAACACACGTCACAAATAGAGAAATATACAACAACGGCTACACAAGCCATCGTGACATCACCCATCACGAATTGAGATGCCTTCCTTAGGCCAGGTTCCAACCTTATGGCTACCCCCAACCTTATAGCTTGTTGCAACCTTTACCTCCAGGACCCCTGTACTTCTGAGTCCAATCTTTTCCCTCCTGGAACCGTCGTCCCCCACTAACAACCACCAACAAGACCACCGATTCATAGTACACAAGGTACCGATCACACACACGGCAACACATGCCACCCAAGAAATACGTGAACCCATCACTCAGGTCACAAACTCCATAATCGCGCCATGGCCACCACGAGGACCACTGCCGTACCTCGGTGACTAATGTCCCATACCATTAATCGTGCAATCCAGGTACAGCCACACACACCACAACACAACAGGAATCAATCAACGGATCACGACAAAGATATGAAACCATACTCAATCAAGGAATGGATCACAGTCCAACAACAACTATGATTAACACAAGTTGTAACACCCCGTGTTACGGCCCCTAAACCGATTAATTATTTAAACCTTTACCCAAGAAAAGAATTAAATTTCATTAATTAATTAGGAAGAGTCCACCATAAGCCCATGGGCCGTTATCCCTAAATCCAACCTTTAGTCCTATAGAAAATGGATTAGCTAAGTCCATACCATTTAGATCCTAAATAGGACTCTTAGATATATAAATAGGGACATAAGAGGCACATAGAACTCACACCACAAATAATCTCTCACCACACAAGAAGTTCCAAGAATTCCCTTAGGAGAAATCAAGAAAGGAGAAATCTTAAAGAAAAACCCTTCATAGCCAAGGAAATTAATTAAGGCTAAGAGGTAACCCATGTCTCAACAAAACCTATTTTCTTCGCTATAATCTCCTTCTTTAGCCCCCCTCTATATTCTTGTGTCTTGATAAATTCTTCTATGTTAATTGTGTTATGTTCTTGATGATTGATAAGATGATCTATGTGCATTCTTGATAATCTTGATGATCTTTATGTTGAAAAGAAGTTCTTGATATTGATGTGATAATCCTTGACAAATCTTGATATTTATTGATGTTAAAGATAAAATATGATTTTGTTGATTTGGTTGGGATTAGAGCCCTAGGATGGATTGGGAATTTGTATTGTAATTTTCTTAATATATATTGGGTGGGAATTCGCATGTTTGGGTGTTGTTTATGTTTAGAAGTCGTGATAGGATGAGTTATACATGATTCTTGTTTTTGATCCATTAATGACTACGTGGTGTCGTTAATTGCGTTTAAAAGTGTCTAAGCATGGTTTCGGGTTCCACAAAGGATCCAGGGACGAATTTGTGATGAAAGAGTCAGTGGGGGGTAGGTGGGGGTAGGAGTACCCGCCACCTACCCACTGCCCAAAGATCACCGCCTGGCAGCGGGCAGGCGTCCGCCCGTCGACAACCCGCAGCCGGGCAGTGATCTCCGACGGGCAGCCGGCGGGTGACCCCCACCCACCGGCTACCCGCTGGTCCGTACCCCACCCCGGGTCTTTAGCTTCCCCGTTTGATGTTCCCCGCTTCCCCATGGTGTCCCAACGGACCTCGTTTGTCGTGCTTGAGTCTAGTTTGATATTTCGGGTACCATTCGTAGGATAAATGAGTCTTAGGAATTAATGCAAGTGGAATTGGTAACCCGTCGACCTAGGTGGAAGTTGTATGAACCCTTAGGACTATTCTTAGTATGTGAATGACCACACGTAAGTTTATTTATATATCTTTCCCCTCCCAATATGCTATTACGTGCTCCTATGTGTTATGTGTTGCATGATCCCCCATTTTGGTTACAGACCAATTGGGTGATTCCCGGACTAAGGTTCGGAAGTCGGCTGAAGGCCGAATGGATTGTTCCCGGACTGTTGACTTTGGTAAAGACTTCAGATTACGAAAAATTTCTACTGATTGCATTTGGCTTAAGGTTGCAGTGAGCTCTAAGATCTAACCAGCTTTAGGTGGTTAACGGGAAAGAATCATACAGATCAAGAAGGCAAGTTAGAAACTTGTGCTATGGATTTACGAAGGCCGTGGATTGTGCTCTAATGATGGATCAAGTTTCCCTTTTCAGTGGTGGTTATTGTCAAGCATTCAAAGGACTCCTTACAGGGTTTTGTGAGATTTAGAGTGCAAACGGTCACGATGCTAAGGAAGGTATAAGGAATACGTGGGTTCTTACACCTCGATGATCTTCAGGTGCAATAAAGAAGGAAGTTTGGTTTGTATATCACCGAAGTCTTGGGATGGCAAGAACAGACAACCGGGTGCGCTTAAAGAAAGAGGAAAGAGGTGGTCAGTGTTTCGATCGATCTTGAGTTAGCTAGAAAGGACAACAAGCCGAATCTCTAAGAAGATCAAGGAAGTTTGCCAAGGGTTTCGTTCGGACGCAATGATGAAGACCGATAAGGGAAACAAGTCAACTCACAGTTGCCTGCTCCGTGTGAGTTTTGCTCGGTTGTAACAAAGATGTGGAAGAAACCAGTGTTTGAAGAAGGGTTTAGGGGTGAAGATGTTTGTGATCTCAGCTTATGAAGAGGGTCTGATAAAGATCTTAGCATTAGAACGTGTCAGAATCTAGGTAGGGAACCTGTAGTTCGTCAGTGGTGCAGCGATCGAAGCGTCAAGTCATCGAAGTTGCCTGAAGTCGAGAATCCTTAACCCTCTTTAAGCCATCTTTCTCTTCTCTTCTTGTCAAACCAAACGTCTCTTTCCGAGAAATTCTTCCTATCCCTTCGAGCCTCATTCTTGTTTCCTTCTTAATTTGATTTTGTACAAGGTGACAACCTCGTTTTCCTAAGTTGTAACCTTGAAAATCTTGATTTCCCTATTAATCAACGCTATCCTTGAACCTAAACCTAGTACCCTTTCGTTAGGAAATCCTTTCAATCCTTTCAAACCTCGTTCTTGATCCCTCACTTCAAACGATTCTGTGCAAGGTAGCAACCTTATTTCCTAAGTTGCAACTTAGATGACTTTATCCTTATCCTAATTAACGTTGTCCTCAAGATTGAAACCTAAAACTTTCATTTTCCTTTCGAACCATCATGCCCTGAGTTTAAAACTTTAACCCTTCATCCTTTCTAACCTTCCGAACCAAATCTTTTTCAAAACCTAGTGTATATATATAGTATATATATTTGCCTGTAAAACATTTTCTCTATATATTACCATATTTTTGTGACACTCTTATCCCCAAAATGATTTTCGAGCTTCGGGGACGAAGCTTCTTTTAAGGGGGTGAGGATGTAACACCCCGTATTTTTCTAAAAATAAATTATAGTCCCGATAGTAAATATTTTCCTAAAAATATTTATATAGTTATTTTAATTTAAAATGGGTTCGAGTCTATTTAGTATTGTGAACCAATATTTTTGTACCCAAACTTTCCGAGCCCAAAATGGTTTTAATTCCTAAAAACCAGTAATTGTTCTTGAGCCCAAATATATGTGTAACCTATGAGTGAGTAATCTTGGACCCATCATCTACACCAAGCCCTTATAATATATATATAAGTATGTGTTATATTGTGAGTTCATTGCTAAGCCCAAGTATAATTATTTTATATGGAGTCTTGAACCAAGATGAACCCCAAAGACTTAATTTAATTCTAGCCCAACCCAACCTTCCTAAAATAACCAACCCACTTTGGTAAGTAGCAACCCAATTCATCTATGATGTATGTATGTGTATGTGATGAAACTGCAACTTCTTCTTCTTCGTCTCTTCACCTTCAGCCAACAACACCCTCAAATCCTTCGTCTTTTCACCTCACCTACCAAACACACCATTTCGTTTCTCCCTTTCCTTCGCGACCGCCGGCGACCAACCGGAGTCTATCCAACGGCGGTGGGCAGAGCATCGGACAGAGCATCCCCACCTTCAGCCTTCCTCTCGCTCGTTCTCCCTCGGTAGCATCTTGGATTAATCAAGGAAGCGATGGCATTTGATGAACCGGCAGTCCAAGCATGCGGCGGTGACAGCCCGGGAAGAGCTCCTGCGAAGAAGCAGTGGTAGTAGCGTCTCTGGCGACCCCTTTGTGTTCTAGCAAGAGTAGAGTGGCGGTGGAAGCTCCGGCCAGTTGTAGCTTTGGCGGGTTCGACGGACGGCGTACGAAGCTTCTCGTCGGCGAAGGCGGAGCTTCGGACCACGGCGGCGACGACCTTCCCTCCCTCCAGCGTCTCTCTCTGGCGTGGCAGCAAGCAAAGGAGGAGTGACGGGTGGTGGAACCTACCGTGGTTCCACCCGCGGCTTTAGTAGCACGAAGAAGAAGACAGTGTCGATGGTGAGCTTTAGTTTTGTTGTTGTTGCTGCTTAGTTTAAGGGGGTTATTATTGTTTTTTTTGAAAGCCAAATATTTTGGTATATTAATGAACGAACATAGTAATAGAGTCAGGTGGGATTACATCCCAGTACATAGGATGTTCCTGATCGAAAGCTAACGAAGCTAGTGTATGAGAATGCATATTAGCAGTTCTGGAAATATAATGTAAAGAACAGTAATTAAATAATGACATAATTGTCCTACACTGGTCCGCAATGACCCCAACATACGATCGTGTTCCGGTACTTCTTGATGTTATCATGTTATGCAACTCCATGCAATCAGTGATTAGATCAACCCTCTGTATATCGCGCCCTTTAAGCCACGATAGGGCTTCCTTGCATGCTAGGGCTTCTGCCATAATGGGTGAAAAGGCACCATGTAGTGTCCCCGCCGAGGCTGCCATAAAAACATCCTCGTGATTGAGTAACACAACTCCGTACGTTGCTTCTCCCGTGTGTTGTCTGTAGCCTGCATCGAAATAGCACTTGAGCCCATACGGTTCGGTTTCCGGCCTCACCGTAGCATTCGGCTGTGTCGTCCCACGTCTCAGCCTGGTGAAGGCCTCCTCGGTCAGCACCGCCTTCTTCACTGTAGCCGTAGGCCGTGGCAAGGCTCTCTCCCATAACGCCGAATTCCTTGCTAGCCATAAGTAGTAGAGGATCCCAACTGCCTGGTGTACTTGCCCCTCTAACAACGAGTCCATCATGCCTATGAACCATGATTGGAAAAAATTAGTTTGAATATTCGTAACAGGTAATCCCGAAATATTCCAAACCAGTTTAGAATAATCACATAAAATCAGCGCATGCATAATATTTTCTTGTGTATTGCCACACATGGGACATATAGGATCCACCTCCACTCGTTTAACAATTAAATTATCAGTGGTGGGTAGTATGCCAGACACAGCTCTCCATAAAAAGGTTTTCCATTTAGGTGGCACTCTTAATTTCTATAATGTAACCCATTTATCAAAAGCACCTGGGTCATCAGAATAGTCCCCCATAATACGCCTATAGGCATTCTTAACCGTGTATATTCCTCGTGTGTCCCCCTTCCAATACCAAGTGTCATCATAATCTGGGCTTATTGGTATTCTTGAGATTCGGCTCACATCCTCAGGAATAAATAAATCATTGAGAATATGTGGATCCCAGGTACCCGTATCGTGATCTACAAGGCCACTCACTAGTGCTTGTCTTAACTCTTCAGGCATGTGTGTTTGAACCAACGGACTAAGATCATCAGACAACCAAGGATGTCCCCATATCAATGTATCCCTACCGTTTCCAATCCTTCTGCGCACCCCGACACAGACTAGATCATGGGTGGCCATAATACTCCGCCAGCAGTGGCTCGGACTATTTCCTATAGTAGCATCAATAAAAGTAGTCGTTGGATAATATCGAGCCTTATAGATCATTGCTACTAAAGTGGTAGGTTCTGTAAGAAATCTCCATGCCTGTTTCCCCAGCATGGCCAAATTAAACGCACGAAGGTCCTTAAAACCTAATCCTCCATATTTCTTAGGGATGCATAATTTATCCCAAGCCTTCCAATGTATTCCACGATCTGCTCCTGTCCCCCACCAATATTTATTCATAGTACGTTGTATAGACAAACACACTGATTCAGGCAACAAAAAAACACTCATAGAAAATGTAGGCATAGACTGAGCCACACTTTTTAAGAGTACTTCCTTCCCAGCCTGTGAGAGTAACTTTTTGTTCCATGATCCAATTCGCTGCCTGATTTTATCCTCAATATATGCAAATACAGCCCTTTTATTTCTTCCTATAAAGGAAGGGAGCCCCAAATATTTCCCAAAATTGGATGCCAGTTCCACCCCCAAACACCACGCCACCTGCTGCTTCTGCGCCATCTGGGTATTTCTACTAAAGCAAATATTTGATTTATTATAGTTCACCATTTGGCCAGACAATTTCTCATATCTAACCAGGCACTGCTTAATAACAGCTGCGTCCTGGATATTTGCTTTGAAAAATAACAGACTGTCATCTGCAAAAAATAAGTGTGAGACCGGTGGTGCCCCTCTAGCCACCCTACATCCATGTATAGCCCCATCCATATGTGCTCTCTGTAATAACATTGAAAGTCCCTCCGCACAAATAATAAATAAATAAGGAGAAAGAGGATCTCCCTATCTCAGCCCACGAGTCGGGGTCACACTTCCACCCACCTCCCCATTTATCATAATCGAATATCTTACTGTGGTAACACACAGCATAATAAGGCAGATCCAGTGGTCATCAAAGCCCATAACAGTCATCATCTTCTTCAGGAAAGGCCATTCCATTCTGTCATAAGCTTTTGACATGTCCAGTTTTAACGCACTCCACCCCGCACTACCACACTGTTTCCTATGCAAATAGTGTCCCACTTCCGCAGCTACCAATATATTATCTGTAATCAAACGGCCCGGAATGAAAGCACTCTAGGATTCTGAGATTATTCCTCCCATCAGTGGCTTCATTCTATTCGCAATCATCTTCGCCATAATCCTGTAAACAACATTGCTTAACGCAATTGGCCTCATATCTGCTACTGTCTCAGGTAGTGTTTTCTTAGGGATTAGCACTATATTTGTATCATTCAATCCCTCCGGGAGGACACATGAATTCAACGCACCTGTTATAAAACGAGTTACATCCTCCCCAACTGTGACACCCGGTAATTTTAGGCAATAATATAATTTTGAGGAAATTATTTAGTTCACCCTTAAAATATTTTTGTATGTTGCCAAAAGAATTTTCGAAAATTATTCCTAGAAAAATTAAATTGTTATAGTTATCTATTATGCCTAAAGAAAGCCATATATTCTGTTTCGTATATATATATATATATATATATATATATATATATATATATATATATATATATAATTTGCTAAGAAATAAACCAAGCGATGAAATGGTGTGGTGGTTTGAGACTTGTATGCTAATCTTGAGATGTTGAGTTCGATTCTTCCCAATTGCGAATTGGTTATCTTGTTTTGATTTTAGCAGAGAAATGATTGGATGAAAAAAAAAAAAAAAGTGATTAGCCGTTATTATAATGATTGGAGTGATTAGTAGACAAATCAGTATATTGTTAATTGATTAGCAGTAGATTAGGGACAAATTGGATGGATTAGCAGTAGTTATATATTCTTATTGATGATTAGAAGATTTATATTATTTATTATTATAAGAAGGGGGTAGGGAGATGAATCATAGGAAGGAAAAGAAAAAAGAATGAAAAAGAAAGAAAGCAGACGAAAAGAAAGAAAGAAAGAAAGAAGAAAGAGAGAGAGAAATGGGAAGAAAATTGGTTATCTTGTTTTGATTTTAGCAGAGAAATGATTGGATGAAAAAAAAAAAAAGTGATTAGCCGTTATTATAATGATTGGAGTGATTAGTAGACAAATCAGTATATTGTTAATTGATTAGCAGTAGATTAGGGACAAATTGGATGGATTAGCAGTAGTTATATATTCTTATTCCTGATTGATGATTAGAAGATTTATATTATTTATTATTATAAGAAGGGGGTAGGGAGATGAATCATAGGAAGGAAAAGAAAAAAGAATGAAAAAGAAAGAAAGCAGACGAAAAGAAAGAAAGAAAGAAAGAAGAAAGAGAGAGAGAAATGGGAAGAAAATAAAGACGAACAAAATAGAGAAAGAAGGATAGGAGATGAAGGTTGTGCAGTTTATAGATTTGCTAGGATCATCATTTTGGTAAGATTTCATGTTCATCAAAATTACTTTTCCCGTAAATATTATATGTTGTGTGAATATGAATATGATATCTATGATGTGAGTTATAATGTTCATGTGATCACAAGTGCATTGTAATGTTGTGAGTAGTAATTCTCGAGCTATCGAGAATGGGTTTCGACGTGTCGAACCCGTGTGTTCTGTAAATGCTTGGCTTGGAAGTTTTGGTATTTATATATATTTATATATTTTTATATATTAAATAATGATCAAATGTGATCAATTTACAAAAAGTATTATTTTGGACAAGCTACACCATTTATATATGTGGTGAAATTCTTATTATTATTCCACGTTCATATTATTAAAGTTTGGAAAAGAAATATTTTTAATGAAAGTATATATATACATACATATTTTAGTCTTGGAGGAGTGTGATATTTGGTGCTGGTGTGAGCCGGAAAACTCACAACCAACTGATTGGAAATTTTGGTCATTTTACCGGAGTGAGCCGGGAGAACTCACAAAAATATTTTTATTATACCGGAGTGAGCTGGAAGAACTCACAAGTTTGAAATTTGTCTCAGATATGGAAACCGGAGTGAGCCGGTAGAACTCACATTGGAACTCTAAAATTATTTTCATGATTGGCTTATGATGCCTTTTGGTGGTTATGTTGAGAGCTTAAAGACTCTTCACTTGGTATCTACTCCTCCTTGATAAATATGTTATATTTTGGAAAAATGACGTGGAATGTTTTGAAAAATGATTATTTACTAAGTCATACTTGGAAAGTCTCTACTATGTTAATTATACAAAAGTATACATATATTTATATATATATATGGTTTGCAAAAGTATAAGAGTATATAAGTATTATTTGAAAATTTTATAAAATCCGAGCCTATTATTTTACGGGGTGAAATGGAACTTACATAGCTTATGCTAATTTTGTCTATATTATATTTTTGTGTGAAATGATTATTACAGGTGAACATGAATAAGGATTCAAGTTGAGAACGAGTTTAGTCTATTTAAGAATAGACAGCATGGAAGATTTGATATTCTTGAGAAAAATATTGTTGTATAGTAATTTGAAATTTTATGTATTAAGTTGATTTTGATATATTAGTTGATGTTGTAAATTTAGCCTTAGCACTTAGGTTGTTGGTTGCCTAAGTGTGGCGGTAACACCCTTTATTTTGGTTAGTTAATGCTTCCGCTAGAGTATCATTGAATCTTTTAATGGAGAAAATGTATTAAAATTAAGGAAAATTTTGTTATAAAATTTGGGGTGTTACACCAACTACACCCCAAAAGTGCTGGTAAAATCCCGGATTCATACCATCCGGTCCCGGTGCCTTATCTGGGAACATGGAATACACTGCCTCCTTTACTTCATCTGCCCCATAGGGCCGTATTAACAAAGCATTCTGCTCTTGAGTAACTCGGGGACTAAAATCCTCAAACAACGGATCTGAGCAACTGGAATTATTCGAGGTAAAAATATTTGTATAATAATCCACTATCACTGCTTTCATCTTATCCCCCTCAACCCACAAATCATCATTATCCTTAATACGCATAATTAAATTCTTTTTCCTACGGGCAGAAGCATACCTGTGGTAGAATTTTGTGTTGGCATCTGCTCCCCGTAGCCAATGTTGCTTTGCCCGTTGTCTCCAAAATACATCCTCCTGGGCCTCCAGCAGATTCAGCTGGTCATCAATCTGCCGGAATTTGGCAAGTGCCACGTGGTCCCTCCGATTGCGGATAGATTCCTGTCGTCGTCGCAGCTGGTCAATACGTTTTCCAAACTTATGAAAACGTTCACCACCCTATCGCATGAGTTTCTCTCCACAATATCGTTGGCACCCCAGCAGCCCTTCAATTTTCCCATCCTGCCAGGCAGTCTCCACAACCTCTTTACAGCCTTCTTCTAAAAGCCAGGCCATCTCGAATCGAAAACCCCTCGGGTTTCCTTTCCTCGGTATGCATGGTGCATTAATGTTGAGGAAAAGAATCGAGTGATCCGATGCTCTAGTTCGAATATTCTCCAGCCATGCATTACGATTAATATCATTCCAACTCGTTGTGGTCAACACCTTAAGTCTTTCCTCAATCCAATTTTACGTACCTTTGCCTTTCTCCCATGTGAATTGATGCCCCCTCATAGGCATCTGGGCCAACCCACATTCATCAATTGCCTCCCCAAAACCACGTAGGAGACTATCAGGATACGGGTTACCACCTCTCTTCTCATGCTGGAACAAGAGATTATTAAAATCGCCCACCACCACCCACGGCAACGCGGACCTACCCTTCAACGTGTGCAACAAATTCCACGAGTCCCTCTTCTCGTTCCACTTTGGAAAGCCATAAAAACATGTCATCCGCCATTGCTTCCCCTCAATCTGTACATCCACATCCACATGATTCTTAGAATAACTTAACAATTGTACCGTGTTATTCTTTTTCCACAATAGAGCCATACCACCACTAATCCTATCATTGTCAACATAAAATAACCCCTCGTACCCAAGACTAACACGAATCCGCTCTGCATGTATCCGTGCCACCTTGGTTTCCATTAAGAACACAAAATCTGGTTTCTTACGGGACCCCAGGTCCACAATCTGTCGAACTGTTTGTGGATTGCCCAAGCCACAACAGTTCCAGCTTAACGTACTCATTGGGACGGGCGGGGCTGTGCAGCAGCTCCCGCCATGGACAAGTTTTTTGAACCTTCTTGCATAATAACATCCTCTTCCTCAAACTCCGTACCTCGTCGGCCTCTCTCATCCTGTCTGCGCCTTTTCCCGGTGGCTTCCACCTGCTCTTCGGCCACCAATCCGCCCCGCACAGGTACGGCGCCACTGGGCCGTACCACTCCCGCCCCGGCCACCCCGCTACCCACCTCTATTGGACGTGGTCTCCCGCCAACCGGCACAAGCCAGCTCTCCCCAACCGCTCTAGGAGCGCTCCGGGATCCACAAGCTCGCATATCCGGACCATACGGGTACCGCTCCAATGGTATGCCAGAGTCCCGCGCCTTAATACAAAAATTATATAGATGTCCCATTAATCCGCAGTAAAAACAAAACCTGTGTAACCGTTCATAGCGAAACGTTACCCAAGCCGTGGTCTTATCCCTTTTCAGTAGCTTCATTCGTCGTCGTAATGGTTTATCCACCGGAATAGAAACCCTAATTCGGTGGAAAGTCAACCACGGGGCCCCTTCAAACCGATCATCATGTTTCACAAAGGTACCAATGAAGTTGCCAGCCTGCTCTAACACCGTTTGAGATGTATATCCCAACGGCATATCGTGTAACTGCACCCACATATCAATTGTGTTCAACGGGATCTCC